GATGCTGAAATGTGTTTTACAACTTATCTTAAAGGGGTCATATGATGCGGTTTCAAGTTTTCCTTTCTCTTTGGAGTGTTACAAGCTGTTCGTGAATAGATAAGATCCCTAAAGTTGCAAAGACTAAAGTTTCAAATCCAAAGAGATATTCTTTATAAAAGTTAAGACTCGTCCACGCCCTCCTAAAATGCCTTGTTTAAACACGCCCCCACATGTCTACGTCACTGTGTGGGAATATTTGCATAACACCGCCCAAATGTTCACGCAAAGAAAGAAGGCGTAACTTTTATTCTCTCTGTAGTATTGTTGCTGCCGCCATGTCGTGAAGACGTGAAACATGGTTTTATGTTTATGCGGCGCGATGCAACGCAACGCTTAAAAAGACAGTATAAGTCATTATTAGGGTTGACGCATTATTACTCGCATCTTTGATAACTGTGCATGTTGTTTTGTCTCACTGTACACGTACCGGCAGCGCGCAGCTCCTGCCGCCACTAAATTACATTATATTTGTCCCATATTGTCATTAATATACATACTGACTTCAACTTGGACCACTAAATAAATAGACTGCTATTGTTATGTAAGTATGAGGGTTAGATTATTTAGTGTACAGGTCATTTCAAGAGTGATAAACAAAGTGATAGAAAATATTATACATATTACGTATACGTATACATGGTTATAAGTATAACAGTTAATATTTGATTAATTTAGGGAAATTAACAAGTGTCTTAGCCCTCAAGGGACTATTTGGCCAACCAGCTTATTCCTGCTTGAAAAGCAAAATATTATTGATAGTGTAAAAAACATCAACTTTGAAGCACCTGTGATTGATGGACTAGCATTGCTCAACCTTACTTACTACCTTCCAGCAATGTTACATTCAATGATGGTAAAATAGTAAAAAAAAAAAATTAAAAAAAATAAAATAAAATAATAATAATAATAATAATAGTTCATTTAAATGGAACCGGAATCGGAACCAGAATCGTTAGGAAAAACTGGAACCGGAATCGGAACCAGAAAATTTCTAACGATACCCAGCCCTAGTCATTATAATCTGTAATTATGTCCCCACTGGATGCAACAAATACCTCGTTTATAATAGGTTTTATTGTTTTTGTCTCATCGCACCGGGAGACGGCATCACAGTATGATAAGGGGCGTAACATTTCCGTCACACGTTTGAGGTATTCGGCCAATCACAACGCACTGGATAGCTGGCCAATCAGTAAACACCTCGCTTTTCAGAACGATGGGCTTTGTAAAAAATTGACGCATTTCAGAAAGGCGGGGCACAGAGGAGAAACAATAATGTACAGTATGTGGAAAATAATGTTTTTTTTTAACCTTAAACCACATAAACACATTTCATTACACCAAATACACAAAATAATGTTCTTTTTTAGCAACATCATATGACCCCTTTAATACCACATGAGGTAAATGTAAAAATCTAATAATTGTAAATAATAATAATAATAATAATAATAATAATAATTGTACAGTCAAAGTTTGTTAAAAAGTAATTTAGTTCAGTTAAACATTTGTTATTGTTTATTTTAGATAAAGATTTGTCTAAATTCTTACATTGAAATTTGATATTCTCATTCAAATACCCCCTCCCCCCTTTTTTAAACAAATCACACCCCATGTATATATACCCATTTATGTATACATATACTATGCATATATGCAAATGAAAGCTAAATATGTATATATTTAGACTAAACTGAATTAAACTCATTCTAGTAGTTGTGTCTTGTAAGTTAGTAAGAAAGCATTTGAAATATGTAAAATGTTAAAAATGTCAATGGCAGAAGTCAGTCTTACTGCTGGTCCTGGAGGTCCTGGTGGGCCTGGGAGCCCAATTCCTCCTCTTGGTCCAGGAGGACCCTGGAAAATTCAATACCATAAATAACACTTAAATTCAGATACCAGAAACAATCAACATAGCTACAACAACAAGATTAAGTATGAAGACGTATATTTAATGCCAAATTCACACTGCAAAGGTGGCAAAGAAGCACTTCTGAAGTGGCATTTAGTTATCTTTACACAGACTGTTTAATGCAGCTCAGAGGTGGCATGAATGCATTTACACAGCAATGATAACTATATACTTTGATACTAGGAGCTGAAGTGGGTCAGAGCAGGCATAATTTAGCCTGGCTTTTAGCATTACGTCTTCTAAGCAGGCACAGAGCAGCCTTAACTCTCTGTGCTTAGGTGTAAAGATGCCTTTATATGTGTCTTAGTGTATTGTGTGCCACTTTAAAATGAATTCTGACCTCTGGTCCGATGTTTCCCTCGTCTCCTGGAGTACCAGGCTTCCCTGGGGTTCCCTGCATAAGTGGAAAACAGTGTTAAAAAGTGAAAATGTAAAATGAAAAGCTGAGAGTGAGACAAATTAAAGTAAGACCAGGTTTTTTACATACTGGAGGCCCAACAGTCTCTGCTCCCTAGAAAAAGAAAATATAAAAGTCAAATCTTCAGAATGAATTAATTTGTCTTAAAAAAGGCATTACAAAAGCATTATTTACTTTGCAAGTAAATACAATCAAAAAGACAAGAAAACAATAAGACAACCAGTGTTGGGGGTAACTCATTACAAGTAATGCGAGTTTTTTTTTGGGAGTAATGCAATATTGTAATGCATTATTTTTAAAAGTAAGTTTCCCCAACACTGAAGACAACACAATGTCAACAGGATACAAACACATTTAGCATTGAAGGATTTGATTGCTTTCCTAAATGGGAAAAAAAAAAATACTCACAGGGGGTCCAGGAGGTCCAGGGAAACCAGGGAGACCCTACAAATGAAGGTTTTTAATGTTTTTTAAAGAAGTTTCTTATGCTCATCAAGGCTGTATCTATTTGATCAAAAGAGACTCCATTAATAAACTTACTGATTATTTAGCTGCAAATTATGCAGAATCACAAAAAAAACACTTTTTATTCACTTTGCATTGTTTTACATTATTGCAGAATTATTGTCTATTAAGATCTCTTACTCTTTCTCCCACCAGTCCTCGTGGTCCCATGGGGCCCATCGGCCCCTACACACATATAAAAAGATTCCACAGTGATTCATTTAGCACAATGAAATACTACAGTTTGTGTGAAACTGATGTGTAAATCTGTAAAACATTGAGTGTATTGCTGGTTTATGTTATTAAACATAACATTGTTATTAAATGGTAAAGGTCATGTGTCTCAGTACTAACCATTGGTCCCGGGGTCCCCTGCAGTCCCCTCTGTCCTGGCAGTCCAATCTCTCCTCGATCTCCTTTACTGCCCTACAACACACAAACAGCTTTATCATCATTCAGCATCGACTGCAGCCGTTGCTAAGATACAGCGGGTCTATGCTAACGTAATTAGACATGCTGGACTCCTCGGTGCATCTGACCTCATCTGATAGGACCAGAGTCAGATCTGAGCAGCGTTTAACCTATTTATGACACACCAGATGATGGTGCAATTCAACCACACTTTCCCTTAATAGATATTGACACAGGAAGCTGGATTGATTGGGTGGGTTTCAGATCTGGCAACCTGTAAATTCATTTTCTGATTAGGAGTTATAATACAAAACGTTTTATTGGGTACAATGTTCAAGCTCAATAAAAGCAATATTCAGTGTTACTGAATAAACTCTACGTTTTCATTTTAGTCTAATGAAATTTATCTCATACAAAATATTGTACAATGCAATGCACTGCCATGGGACATTCTTCAAATCTAGTTCTCAGAACTCTGTTCTTATTTTTCAAGGAAAATCCAGCATCCCTCCATTATTATTATTAGCAGGTTTTTTTTTTGTATTCAAACGCTCTTTTCTAAAGATTTTTTAAATAATAATTTAATAATAATAATTTAATAAATTAATAAAGTTTTTTTTTATTCAAACATATGCTCTTTTCTAAAGATTTGTTAAAATAATAATTTAATAATAATAATTTAATAATTATCTGCACATATTCATATTGTGCTTCCAACTTATTTTGTATTACATTATATTTTTTTTAGCTTACAATTAATTTATTTTTAATGTTTTATTTTTAAACATTATTTTTAAACAAATACTTATATCACGATTATAATCTTTGTAGAAATGTTTATATATGTTAAATCATGTTTATAATCTTTTCATTTTATTTTTTGTGCAGATTTAGATATCAGCTTTATAATTTTTTAGGTTACAAACTATTTATTTTAGTGCTTTATTTTTAAGTATAGATTTATATATATATCAGCTTTATAATCTTTGTAGCATACACTACTTACTGTATTTTAGTGGGTTTTTATACAGCACTTTTATAATCTCTGTAGGACACATACGATTTATTTTACTGCATTTTTAAAAGTATAGAATTATTCTATTAGCTTTGTATCTTACAAACTATTTATTTTTAGCAGTTTGTTTTTTAATAGTATAGATTATATCACTTATAATCTTTATATCTTACATTTTATTGTAAAATTTTTTTGTAGATTTATATATACACGATTGTGTATCTTATTTGTCTTTTAGTAGCCTATTTTTTGAATATATAT